ATAATTCCAAGCTCAGGTTTGATAAGATAATTAAAAGAGATAACATATGTAAGGTACTTTGACACAGTAGCAGTTTAATAAATGGTAGGTAACAGGAGCTAAAGGTCTAAAGTAAGAATATCTCAAGTAGGATGGAAATGATGGGAATGGAGAGAAAATCCTAAAGTGGATGCATGTGAAATGCAGACTTGGAGAAGATAAGACAATTAAGGCAGATGATGACCTCAGGGGATGAAGTCAGTTAAAGGTAGGTTTTAGCAAGAACATTTCAAAACAAGGTGAAGAATATTGCTTCACAGCAGAGTAGAATACAATAGAATCTTACCAATATTTATTTAGGATAAGTGAATAATTTGGATAGGGTTCTTAAAAAAAAAAAAAAGAGCATGCACAATGATAATAGATGAACCAAAAGCTTGTCAGTGTTAGCTTGAGGAAAGTGAGGCTGGAAGAATAGAGATGGAGGTTAAGGGATAGGATATGGAGAACATGAGCTAGGTTAGGAGCTGATTAGGGCCACAGGAAAAATGCAGCCCACCACCTGTTTTTGAACAGCCCATGAGCTAAGAATAACTTTCATATATATATATTTAAAGATTTATTTATTTATATAAGCACTGGGTACAGTCAGAAGCATGGGAGGGTTACAAAATTCCCCAGAGCCAGAGCAGCAAGCAGAATAGGCAGACTGAAGTACACTGCTGAGGGGAGCACCAGGCATGGCAGGAGAGGTCTACGTGCTATGTGGGACCCTTGCTGGCAGCCGGGGATTGAACCAGTGCTGCAAAGGTTACGGGCATCTTCGCAGTCCAGAGCTCAACTGTTACACCACTGGGGAGGCCCAACTTTCATATATTTTTTAAAAGATTTTATTTTATTTATTTATACATACAAGAACAGGGGTGTAGGCCAGAGGTATGGGGGGTGAGAGGATTCACCAGAGATAGACGGGGGAGCAGAACAGGCAGATCTACTGAAAAACACTGCTGACAGGAGCAGCAGACAATACAAGAGAGGTCCGATGAGCCATGTGGGTCAGCTCCCTGTGCAGGGATTGAACTCAAGCCAAAGAGGCTGGTGATAGCTTGATGATGCTGAGACTTTAACCTCTACACCACGAGGGAGGCCCTATATTTTTTAATGATCAAAAAAAAGCCAAAAAAAGAATATTTCAGACATGTGAAAATGATGAGACTGTAATTTTAGTGTTGAAAAGTAAGACAAGTTTTTGTTGTTTTATTATTTAGAATGATCCAGCCTGCATCTCAGAGAACAGGAACAATGTATTAGGAAGTACTTTATAAGCATTATCTATAAATAAAACACTATGAAATAAACTCAATGTTCCTATTTTACTGATGAGCAAACTGAAACTTACATTTCAACCAAGGCCATGCAGTTCATTAGCAATAGCCTCAGAAATATTACCCTCACCAACTTGCCTTTCCAGATTTCCATTATCCCAGACTAGGCTTAAAATCCTGGCTCCAAGTTTAGTTAGACTGTTAGAGCATGACAGAGGGACACCCAGGCACTCCAAACTATTAAGGGGTACATGATCTAAAGGTATCTGACCATCCATTTGCAAAAAGGCAAAGAAAGCAAATTGTTAGTATGAAGAGTTTTAATAAAATGAATGTGTAGAGAGAGAAGAAAAGAAAGGCTATTCTTATTAGTTTCCCAATAAAAACCTTCAAAATTACCTAATCCCTTGTGGGCAAATTGCCAGTCAAAGAGGGTCAGCCCAAAGCAGGGCCACTGAAATCTTGCCACAAGTCTAAAGTACTTACTGGCAGGGAACCACAAGAAAGGGGTTAGACAGATCTCAGAGAGCTGGGATAGGAAGACATATCATATCAAGATAATGACCGAAAAGAGAGAAACAGGCAAAAAAAAAAAAAGATAATGGCTGCCATTTTTAAGCCTTCCCACATGTCTCTCATCTTGTAACAGGGTAGTCCCCAGGAAAGGGGGAGGTTCCAGGTTTCCTGCCCCATCTAAAAAGCAGTGTGGATCTGAGCAGAGAGAGAAGAAGCTGCAGAGGAGACCGAGGAATGAAGCAAGCAGGATGAAGAGCCAGGAGACCTGGAGGAGGCACATGGAACAGAGAGACATGTGAAGAAACTGCATTTGCTTCTTGGTCCTGGACTGGTTGAAACAGATGTGGGTGAGAGACCTGTGGGGAAGTGCCAATGACAGTGTTTATCTTGATTTTGATTTTGCTCTTTTCTTCCCAGACTAGTCTGGCTGTTTTTTATCCTTTTCCATGGGTCCCCACCAGGAGGGGCCTTAGACTTGGGCAGGCTTTTGGGGTTGCTTTGGGCCAATCCTGTTTGGCTGGACGAGGGAATGGGTAACCCATGAGGGAATGGGTATTGTTGGGTGCTTGATTTGGAAACTATATATCTTGTCTTTTCTGCATTGCACACTAATTGTATTAAAATTCCTTTTCATTAAAAGTCTATATGCTTTGTCTTGATGTGGTGGATGACAGAACCTATTTAGAGTGTGTAGGTTTGGGGGTTCTAGGGTGCCTCTCTCCCTGCCCTGTAACAAGTCCCTCTTCTGCAAGTTTCCTTACAAATCAAAGTCTGAGAAGCAAGCACGCCACGCTCACCTGCCTTCCATGTTATATCTGCCCCTAGTATCTAGTAGCTCTTCCCCTTCAGAAGTCCAGTTCATAAAATAACAGGATTTGTAATCCAAGGTGGATATATGTTATGGAGGTAGGGAAAATGGCACCTCCCCTTATTTGTAACAGGACCACGAGATGTTTATAAAATAAGGTTTGAAAATATGCTGAATGGTTATGTTGTGGTTTTTGGAGTCAATGGGTTTGGAGTGCGGAGTCCTTGGTTTCACTTTGGGAAAGGTTTCACCAGGACTCCCGTTTCAGCAACACACGGTGAGTTTCCCAGGCGAATTTCTCCACAAGACAGAGATATTAGTTATATTTAAAGGGCAGGTTTATTAGGGAAGGCATAAAACAGTTAAAGACACTTGCATAGACACAAGCAGGCAGGAAGAGCTGCCCCAGAAGGGACAGGTTTGCTAAGAGAGGCCTCCATGGTTGTGAATGTGAAGGACAATAAAAGAAAAAAAAAACCAAAAACTGAAAAGGAGGTGTGCCACCAGACCAGAAACCTGGCTCACACAAGGAAGTGGGGGTCGAAGAGATTAGCATAGCTATTGACACAGCTATAGAAACAAAGATCCTTAGGCCAGACCACACAGTTATGGAAACTAAGATCCTTAGGCACAGACACTAGTATCCTTAGGCACAGACTAGTATCCTTAGGCATGGATGTCTAGATTACAAAGCAAAAACATAACAGTGCGCACAGAGATTGAGCCCATTGTAGAATCTCCTGGTCCCTTTCAAATTCTATGTAGTTATCCAAAATTAGCAACCAACTGATGGCTCACAAGGAGAGACCCCTCCCTAACAGAAGACAACTTTATCAGTTCATTGTCTGCACTGGCGCAGGGCTGCGCTCCTCTGCCCACCTGGACCTATGCAGGTGTGTCTTTTCACCAACTCTCTCCTGCAGGGCAGCAGCTTCCTGCCTGGCCGTGACCTGTACCTGCCGGGGGCTTCTCTTCACTGACCTCCCTCAGTGGAGGCCGCTCTCCTCAAGGCCGCCTGCCTGCAACCATGCAGGCCTCTCTCAGCAAACCTGAACCTTCTGGGGCAGATCTTCCTGCCTGCTTGTGTCTATGCAAGCTTCCTTTAATCTTCTGTCCCTTTCCCTAATAAACCTGCCCTTTAAATATAACTAATGTCTCTGTCCCGTGGAGAAACCCTCCTGGGAAACTCGCCGCGTGTCGCTGAAACGGGAGCTCTGGTGACACCTTTCCCAGAGTGAGCCCAAGGACCCCGCACTCCAAACCCACAGACTCCAAAAACAACAGCAGTTACAGGTTACTTTTGGAACTGAATCAGAGGAAGGGAATGATTTTGGCAGACCCATTTCTTTTTTTTTTTTTTTTAAGATTTATTTTATTTATTTATCCAAGCACTGGGTACAGTCAGAAGTGTGGGAGGGTGAGAGAATTCACCAGAGCCAGAGGGGAGAGCAGAGCAGGCAGACTGAAGAAGTACACTGCTGAGTGGAGCAGTGGGCGGCAGGAGAGGTCTGCGTGCCATGTGGGACCCTCGCCCAGTGGCCGGGGATCGAACCGGTGCTGCAGAGGCTGCGGGCAGCTTCGCAACCCAGCGCTCAACTGCTGCGCCACCGAGGAGGCCCTAGGCAGACCCATTTCTAAGAGCTGTATGTGAATTAACTCAGTTAATCCTCATGACTCCCTCCTGGGTAAAATAGAGGTGGCCTTCCTCAAGGCTGTGTCCCAAATAAAAGGTCTAATGTTTGGGTTTGTTATTAGGAGATGCCACTGAGCCTCCAAAGGAGCATCCAAATGTATGTATCTATACTCCCTCCTTCAGAAGCATTCAGGAGAGGATTTTTGAGACTTTTACCCTTGTTTCTTGCAGTCCTGCCCTCATCTCCTTCACTATCCCCTCTCAGGGCTTCTCAGACTTAACTAAAAGCTCAATGGTTTCTCCAAGATCATTCTAAAGAGACTAGCCTAATCACAAGAAATGAATCAGCATTTGAAAAAATGCAGCAGATGAGTTTAAAGTGCAAGTGTTGATGGGCTGAGGGCATGTAACTCTCTTAAAGAACGAAAGTGGGAGGCAGATGAGTATTTTGTCAAAGATCTCTGCAGCTGTAGATCTGAGAAAGTTGTAGCTGGGGTGTTTATTCCTGAGTTCCTCTCTTTTAACCCACAAAGCAGCCACTTTGTCACTTCGAACTCACTTCTGGCAGCTGCTGACAAAACAGGAAGCATTAGAATGCAGTCTGTCTTTACAACTCTCTGAACATCAGGAGTTTTAAAACAAGTTTCAGAGGTGGATTTGCTGTTTTATGGCCTCCATTTCTTACAAAACAAGCAGGTAGGGGTTAAAGTATCAATGCAAAGTCCTAAACACTGACTTCATAATGAGTGTTACACAACAGCCTTTCCAACATGTTAAAGTGAAAGCAAGCTTTTTTTTTTTTTGCTTTTTTTTGGCTAGAAATTGGTGGGTGTGGGGAGAGAAGAAGGAACTGGGAAGAGGAGGGGAAGTTAAACCTTTCTTCCCTGCCTGCCTTCTCAGAAAACCAAATATGGCATCTTCCATGAGGAGCTTGTTTTCTGACCACAGCAGATATGTAGAATCTTTTCGGAGGTTTCTGAACAATTCCACGGAACACCAGTGCATGCAGGAATTCATGGACAAGAAGCTGCCAGGAATAATAGCAAGGTAAAAAAAAAAGGGGCATTTTTGTCAAAGGGAGGAGCCTCGGGCTCTCTCTGCTGTGGTAGATGGTCGATCCCAGGCTGGCAGGCTGGCCTCAGGGATGAGGATTTCCCGACAGCAGCTCTGCTTGGCTGCCCGTGCCCCTGCGCCCCTTCTCCCGCTGTGCTTTAGTTAGATGTTCCTTTTAAGCATTCAAAGGCTCTGATTCATGCTGTATTCCAGCAGAACAGAGATAAGGTTAACCATTTGAAGGCACAAATCCACCTTCATTTAGGAAAGGATAAGATATAGATCTTTGAGCTCAGATTTGTCAGTCCGCCTCCAAATTTTACATTTAAAAAAAAAAAAAAGACCCTATAGGAGTCTAGTATTCTTTTCATTAGAATCTAATGTAAATAATTACCAAATACTATTTGCCCCCTGAAGATTAATTGGGTGTCTCTCTATTCTCTTAATATCCATTTAAAGTCATTTCCCTTATCCATTATTACAGGTATCACTTTTCAATAAATTATCTTTTCCTTTCAACTTAATATTAGCAATGTGGCCCTTAAAAAAAGCATTTTTCCATTATCTGTGACACTCACTAGTTCCTATCCTTCTTGCAGACTTTTTTTTTTTTTGTGTGTGTGTGTGATTAATGTGTTCAATTTGTGCCAGAGCAGATAAGCATTAAGAAAGTAACAGATTCCACATGCTAAAGATAATCAAATCACCTATCTAGGGGTGGATTGCTGTAACTTACTCTGCTGTAGGATATAATGATGGAAAACTGGGAAGAAATGACTGACTGTCAATCCAATTTGCAACAGCGCAGGAAACTGGTAGTTTATCTTTTGCTGTGTTTCCCTATTGTAGGCCTGAAATTCTTTCCCAGCACAGAACATCAGCCTGAACAATGTATATAGAATTCTGTGTATATAGAATTCTGCTTCCCTTTCCATGTTTCATGGTTCAGTTTTTAAATGTGTTTTTAAGAAATAAGAGTATTATATAGTATAGTAATAGGTAATAAGTCATAGAATAACTGCAAATAATTAAAGCAGAGAGCAAATACAAATTATTCCTTATCCAGGTACTAATTATAGTTTGCTTCTTTGGGTCTTTTTGCTTATTGATAAAATTTAAGGTGGTGAGCTAATTTTTTAGTTCTTTTTGCAATACTAAACACCTGTGTTCATGGCTGTAGCTAATTCAGATCCTTGGAATTCTTCAATAATCAGTTTATTTTGAAAAGGTATTATGGATTGATATAACCTAATGCAATACATGACTGTTGCCTGTCTTCAGGGTGTATACACTCTAACTGGATATACTGAACATAAAATTTGTAAAAGACTGAAGAACTTTTAAAAGCCTAATTAAGTTTGCATTAAAGTAGTAATATATAATTGGAAATTATTTGAGCCAATATAGCATTTATTTTAAAAGTAATTTCTTACCTGAAAATGATGAGATTTAGCTAAAGCACTTAAAATTGCTGTTTAAAGTTATTTATAATTGGGCCCACCAGCACTGGGCTGCGAAGCTGCCTGCAGCCTCTGCAGTGCCGGTTTGTTCCCAACCACCAGCAAGGGTCCCACGTGGTGCGCAGACCTCTCCTGCCATGCCCGCTGCTCCCCTCAGCAGTGTACTTCGGCCCTTCTGCCTGTTCTGCTCCGCGCTCTGGCTCTGGTGAATTCTCTCACCCTCCCTGTGCTTCTGACTGTACCCAGTGCTTGTATAAATAAATAAAGAAAGAAATCTTAAAATAAATAAATAAAATAAAATCTTAAGTTGTTAAAACCCTCAATTTTAAAAAAATAAGTTATTTATAATTGAATAGTAGGCAACATGCTTATTTGATTTTTCATTTTTATTAAAATAAGACATTCTCATATTTTTAAAGTCAAATTATCCTAAAAATACCTATAACAACAAATACTCATCCTTTGCCCTTCCTATTCCTAACCCCAATTCCTATTCCACCACTTTCAACACTCAAGATCCATTTTAGTTATTTATTTTAGAATTTTGTTCCTAATTCAAAATATCACATTGCTCTACTCTTTCTTAATTTGCTATATTAAAATTGCTAAATAAACATGCATATTCCCTACCCGTGTCAATATATTTGACAAAATTTGTTGCTAAATAATTTGTTTATATCATTTTACCTATGTATATATTATTCATAATTGAACAAAGTATTATACAACTAGACTTCCTTTCATGTACAACCTTTTATTCTTTGGTAGATTTAACTTTTATCTGAATTTTAGTTTATTTTCTTAGTTTTCTATGTCCTGTCGCTATTAAACTCCAAGTGGTAGTATTAATCTCCTCCAAAAACATCTCAACAGATCAAGTATTCTGTTAATTTCTCGCCCTGGAAAGATCCTTTCTGGAGTCTCTATTCTTTTCCCACAACTTGGGTGACTTGCTCTTGGTCTGCTATACAACTATTGATGAAGGAATTTATATTTCACCTTCTAGACATTCTCTTTTCCTCTTTCCAGTAACAGATTCCCTAAGTCTGGATTTCACACCATTCTTTTCTTATTTTCTTTAGTCTTGTTTTGCTAGCTTCAGCTTATCCTTTAAAAACTCCCCAAGAAAGAATACATGGGAGGAAACATTTCGAGATTCTGCTTAAAAGTGCCTTTACTCTATGCTCATCTTTGTTAGTTTGATTTGGCATAAGACTCTATACTGAAAATAATTTTATGTCAGAAATTTAGAGGTAATTTTCAATTGTGCTTTGGTAAGCAGAGTCCCTGCTGAGACATTTAATACCATTCAGATTCCTCATCTTTGGCTTGTAAATTGTTTTGTTGCTATTACATTCTTTTGTTTTCCCTACTTAGAAACTTTTAGGAGCTTCTCTTATATCTAGTATTGTGAAACTTTAAGGAAATGATTTTCATGTGTGTCTTTTTCATCCATTTTTGTGAGTACTCCCTAGGCCATTTCAACTGAGATACAGATCTTGCAGTATTATTTAATCATTTTCCCCCTTTGTGTTTCTCTTTCTGCGACTTGTATTCATCAAACATCAAACCTCATTAATTGATTCTATAATCTTATATTTCCATTTTATCTTCAGCACGTCTATTAATGCTTTGGTATTAGTTTTAATTTCCAAGAATGTTCCTTTTTTTAAAGTATCCTATTCATATTTCATATGAATACCTTCTCTTATCTTTAATTTTATTTTCCTCTGCTATCCTTGCATTTCTTTTGAGTTTCCTTTTTCTGTTTCTTTTGATCTGTCTTCTATCAGGGTACTTCCACAACTACTTCAGGAGAGTTGACTGTCCAGCCAGTCAGATAATGAGGTACTAAAATGCAGTTCAGATTTTCTTTGTCTATCTAAGGGAAAGGTTTGTTGAGTGATTGACTCAATGCAATAACTGGAGGTGGACTCAGGTATTTCTGGGAGATTTTCAGATGTCAGTATGCATAAGGTTATTCACTGATGTGGTTTGCCTCCTCAGGGAATAATTCCTCAAACCCTCTTTTGAGGTGAAATTATTGGAGAATTACAGTGTATAGTTGTAAATACTTAAATTTGTTATTGTTATTATATATAGTGCATTTAAAGTCTGGTCTACCTAGAAAATAGTAAGTTTGCAAATATATAAAGTTTGCAAATATATAAGTTTGCATAATATATAAATATATGATAGTATGATATAATTAATTATATAATACATAGCATGTAATATACGATAATAGTATCTAGCTCATAAAGGAATTGTGATTATTCAAAGAGTAATTCATGTAAATCACTTACCTATGCCTAGAATAATGCTAATTCTTATATAATAATATTAATTAGTGAATACTTATTAGGGGCAAACACATTTCTTAGAGATTTACTTAACTTAAATCATTTAATTTTCATATTTCCTTCAGAATTTAGATATTATTATTAAAATCCTATAAGGTAGGTAGTAGTAGTATCCTATGTCATATGAAAGTACAGAGAAATTAAATACCTTATATAATATAAAAATAAGCTGGGATTTTAATCTAGGTGCTCTGCTCCATAGTTTATGTAAGCATTTTTAAGAATTAACCAAGAGCATAGAGAGGAATGGGTATATTAAGACTTATGAGAGGGCCTCCCCGGGGGCGCAGCAGTTGAGCGCTGGGTTGCGAAGCTGCCCGCAGCCTCTGCAGCACCGGTTCGATCCCTGGCCACCGGGAGAGGGTTCCACATGGCGTGCAGACCTCTCCTGCTGCCCGCTGCTCCCCTCAGCAGTGTACTTTGTCAGTCTGCCTGCTCTGCCCTCCACTCTGACTCTGGTGAATTCTCTCACCCTCCCGCGCTTCTGACTATACCCAGTGCTTGTATAAATAAATAAATAAATCTTTAAAAAAAATAAAATAAATAAAAATAATACTTATATTTAAAAAAAAGACTTATGAGATAGAAGATAATTAGAACTCAAGTAGGTAATTCATTCATAGCTGCCCTTGACTTTATGCTTTTCAGTTTCCTTAAGAACTTTGCTTCAACCTGCCTTCATCATATTCTTTGTGCAGACTTTTTCACTTCAGCTTAAACCAGGCTTGTTTACCTACAGCCCAAATTAGCAAACATCATTTTACTATTCATGTTTACCCTCTATCTGTCATTCCATTCCCTTCTTACTGTGTTATCCTATTTCAGCTATCACTAGATCTTTCCTTCTTTGAGTTCACTTTTAATTCTACTGCCATCTGACTTCTGTCCTGAATCTTCTTTTAAAACTGCCAATATCAAAACTATTATAAGTATAAATTAAATAGAGATTTTTCCTGTTTTATTTTTCAGTAGTATACTCTGCTCCTTTGCCACTGCATCACAAACTCAATCAGGCTCCCCCCTCTTATTCTCCCATCCACCTAAGCTTTACTGTTTTCCTTTGTCTCCTTTGTGTATTTTCCTTAAACAGTGACTTTGAAAAGTTTGTATTGCATCATTATTTTACTGCTCTTGTAACCCTTTGCAATATCCTTGGATGATGAAATCTACTCTCCGGTTTTGATCATTACTTTATGATAATTCTCCAGTTTATAACATTGACATTGATCTATCTCCTACCCAGCTTAAATCTTACATATCCAAATGTCTATTGATTCAGTTATCAAAACAAGACAAAACAGACCAAAAAAAAAAAAAAGCTATGCTCACAAAAAAACACCCCCCTCCCCCCAACAAAACATAAACTTGCTGTCAAACTATATTCTCCAGCTTTCTTTTTGGTACCACACTTAATTCAGGCATACTGGAAAACTGGCAATCACTGTGTACTTGTACATTTCTTGTCCCCTCATCCCCCACTTTTTATATCAATCTAAATAAAGCAAGTCCTACTGTTGCATCACTGTCACTTTATTTCTAGTACAAGAGCCATGATACCAGGTTTTATTATCTCCTGTTTCAATGTTTAAACAAAGTTGTATCATTCATTTTTATATCCTCAATATCAAAGTAGGTACAAAATAAATGTTTAATAAAATTTTGACCACTGAAAGGAAGTAAGCAAGAAAGAAAGAAGGTAGATATCACAAAGCTAGTATGAATCACCTAAACCTTTTCCCAATCTACAGTGAATGGCTTGTTATATCACCAGATTCAAAGACCCATTTTTTTTCTGTTCTTGTTCTCCAACCTCTAAACAAATGGTATTTCCTACCTCTGGGATGTTTATATTGCTGTTTCTAAAAGTCTCTCAGTAGAAGATCATTAATGAATGAAACCTATATTTCTATAGATTTCTAAAGCAACAATATAACTTACTGAAATGATTGGAAGCTTTCATGTCAATCTAGTTTTTGTTCACTGTAATTCAGTTTGTTTTATTCAACAAGACTGGATAATCAGACTTTACAAAGCATCTAACTCATTTTTCTTTAATTACTTTTATTTTTCAGAATTGGAGACACAAAATCAGAAATTAAGATTCTAAGCATTGGTGGAGGTGCAGGTATGAATAACACATATTTTAAATTTGTATTTCACTCCAAATATCATGTTGTTTGATGGCAGTATTGTTCATTCTTTTAGAAAAGCTATTTTCCTCTGCTTTTAGAAAAGATTATCTTATTTAAACTAGTAAGAGCAATACCACTTCAACTAAGATTTGTGCCCCTCTAGATTTATAGGGACATTAGCCTTCTTTATTAGTAATATGGACAAGATGTGGCTTTCTTATTCTCTTTATAAATAAAAAATGTATTTGGAAAAATTTTAACCAAAGTGATTTAACTATTTTCAGAAAAGGAAAATTTTCATAAGCTATTTTCTAAGATTATGTCACCTTAAATATGGTTGATAAGATAGTTGCTGGCTTGAAACTATTATTGACCCACAAGGAGATAAGAAGGATGCACTGAAGTGCAAATCAATGCATAGCTCTCTTCATTCAGAAAGTATCACTATGGGAAAAATAGTCTTATGAACATAGATAATTTATAGACTGTGACCACATTCTTTGAGTTACACTGGATTAAACCATTCTTTTCCTCTGATTCATTTCTAAAACCACCCTCTAAGCTTTCAGCACACTCTGAACCCTCTTTCATAAACATTTCATGGACTTTCATCCTAAGGTGAAATGGGAAGTCTGGAAAGACATTGATATGGGTATAGTTTCTGACTCTGCTGCTAATGAACTGTGTGATCTTGGCTGAAATCTAAGTTTCAGTTTGCCTGTCAGTAAAATGGGAAAAATTAGCTATATCTCATAGGGTTGTATGAAAATTGTATAGATTAATGCTTATAAAGTGCTTCTTAGCACATTGTTCCTGTTCTTGCAAGTTGCAGGCTGGTCCATTATCCAGAAACACAACAAAATGTTTCATCTGCAGACTTTGTCCCCATATCAGTCTCTGAGTAGTATATTACTATTTAAAATATAGTCATATGTGTTATTTATATATGTGTTTATTTATCATTTTCTGTTGGAACAATCACTGAATGATGGTTTAGTTTCCACATGGTAACTAGTGGCATTATATTACCATTTGTTTTATGGTATCAAGTATGCCTCTTGCTCTTTTAAATATGAGTGTTTCAGTGCCTGGTGGATAAGCTGCATTCTGGCCCATGTTAACACCATAACTGAGAGCCCTCTAATAGAATGGGATAGCTAGTTTTTTAAGTCATTGTTGTTCATTTTACATAAAATATACAATGATATAATAAAGACTAACACTTAAAATCATTTTCCTTTATCATCTTATCTTCCCCTTAGAAAACAGAAACCAAAAAGGCCAAATAATAAAGGATATTGTCATGAATGATCCTATACAGAGTGCTTAAGCTAAAATACTTTGTTATTGCTTACTGATATTTTAATAGTAATCCTTAGGATTATTAGAGTGATGAATTGTACAGTGAGTGTCCTATTAATTAGTTAGCCAAGACATTTCCAGGATGTTTTGAATATGATTTTTAGGAAACCGACAAGCAATGAGACTATCATTTGATAATGTCACTTGTGCTTGGACAAGAAGAGAAGCCCTACAAGGAAAAGTAATTAAAAACAATCTCTATCGTGGTTAAGTTAATTGACCTTTTAATATAAAGTTAATTGAATTCCTAAAGTAAATTTATCCAGATGCATATAAGGTATCTAAAAAAGGAATATTTGCCCCACACAGTGATTCCTTACATAAAGATACACACTTGAGCTACTATAGAGAACTTATCAAAATAAAGGAGCAACACCTAGTGTTCTCCTTGAGCTCTAACATTTTATTAATAACAGGCTCTGCCTTGGGGAGAATATGGGTGTCCTTTAAGGTCACTCATAAGAAATTGATCAGAAATGCAAGATGAACTCCACCAGAAATATAAGCTATTGTTATTTAGCACTCATTGCTCAATTAAGCAACAATAAATTAAAATCATTACATTTAAAATTGCAAGGTATAGATTTCTTTGGCAACAAAGAACAGTGTTTTGGGGGAGACACTTTCTCAGATAGTCCGAGTGTCCATATGCCAATTGGGTGATGCTTATCTGTTTGTCGAATGCAGGTATCATGCAAAAGAACAATATATTACCATACAGTGAGACACTTCCTATACCTGCCTTAGACATTGACCTCCCAATGTTTCCCACCGTCTTACAGTATGTCTGAGCCTTTGCATTATTCTGTGGCTTTTGTATCCTTCCAAATCACTGAATTTCGATCTATGGCCTCATTGATTTCACTTTCTAGATGTTTTTTTTTTTTTTCTTAGTTGCCCAACACCTACAGACAGATTATATTCTGCATATCTTCAGTCATTTATGATGATGCTACCACTTCTCCCTACCACAGTGAAAACACAGAGCAATATCAAACAAAAAACTTTCCAAATGAAATTACTCCCATTATGTTATCTAATGCTTGTGTTCTTTGGGGGCAAAATCAAAAGAAAATTTGATTTTCTTTTCAGAAGCAAGAGCAGGGGTTACCTAGGAACACTTTCTGTCTTCAGTCTCTTTCTATTCGGAAAGGTTGATGATTGTGCGGAGAGAGGTTTCCTATTTTCAGAGAGAATGTAAGAATTTTGAAAAAGGCATTTGGCAATTCAGCACAAAAGCTAAACAATTATTAAAGCTCTGAGCAGATCAAAAGAAAAGAAATCGATGGCAAACTTTTTGATGTTGTGTTTAAGTAATTTACCACATCAATAAACTATATTTTATAAGAAATACTATTACCCACAGATTATATGTTTAATGTTAGGGAAATGTCTGAAATATTTTTTGTGAAGCCAAAATAAAAATATCAAAAGAAAAACAAAGCATAAGCAGAAATAGAGATCATGTAGCTTTTTCAGAGCCCAAACTAGGAGGTGTAAAGTTATGTGTATATGTGTATAAGTTTATGTGCCTTAATGAAACACAGCAAGCATCTGAACTGCTTTATTCAAAGTCTTGAAGTATTCATATCACGTTCATTCCAGCAATTGTTTTTAGATACTGCAACCAATTGCACTATGTTCTAAATCTCACAGAATATTCTTTTTGGTCCATCTTCAATACTGATGCTTCCTAAAATTAAACCATCCAGTGGAGCTTCATTATTATTCAAATTTTAATGAGTTTTGTCTGTATGCTAGATGGCACATGGAGGAAAAAGAAACATATTCCTATAGGTAAGGGTATGTAATTTACAGTACATACATTTATGCCTGGAAAATGCTCCAGAAGGCAGTAATGAGCAATGTGTTCTCTTGCTCTGAGCTCTGCTTGAACGGGAATCATTTTTTTCTGGTGCACTGCTCAGTTCTTATGTTCAAATGCCCAAAGTTTTGTAAGGCCTGGAAAGAATAATAACTCCATAACCTCATTGTATCCAATTTTCCACTTATGTTTTTATTATATCAGACTATTTATCTGTGTCTTTTCATAAATGTGATGTTAAGGTGACAGTGAAGTTTATTTTTTTAAAACTAGTTGGGTAGTAGTGCAACAAATGCAGTAAGAGCTGGTAGAACCATGTCATTAGTTTGAGAGGTCAGGGGGTGACAGCAAGCAAATGACACTATTTTCCAGTGGTCAACAGTATATATTAGCAAATTAGGGTTGATTGGGGGAACTGTGGGAATTGGAGGACATTTTTCCGTCCAAAGAAAAAAAAAATTAAATGTGCTTACTGCCATCTTCAGATATTTCCTGTTGCATAAACTACAGAATATTTGCCCCTTGATGGCAGATGTTCAAAATAGAGAGCGTTCTTGGCTGAGTATTAGCTTTTACTAATGACCAAATTTGTCTAGAAATGAAAGCACATATCTTGGGAGACAAAGAGCTACCTGTCAATGTACAGATTTTAGCCTAGACTGGAAACATACTTTTCAGACATGGTATGGAAGGAACTCAGGCATTGATTTTTTTTTTTTCCATAATAGTATTGAGAAAATACCATTAAAGTTCTTTTCAGTCTGGAAAAATCTATGGTTTTATGAGTAACTTCCTTGTAACAGGCATACATCTCTCCAGTGATGTGGCTAACACCATATTTGGTTATGCTAAGAAGTTATAACTTAAATGGGATGCCAAACATGTAGACAGTTTTTAGTCTGTATTCTAATCGCTTTGTAACTTGAAATGGCAAGAATTGTTTTACCCCTTGCAGCATGCTAGTAGTTACTCCATTCTAAGAAGGATATGATTCACTAATCCACAGGGCCTAGGACTGTTTACTTTGGGTAACAGTTAGGGGCCTCATATATAAAGTTTTGTTAAAGGCATTCAGAACTATATTATTAAAAGGAAAATTATTTTCTTTTAAAGAAAATAAGTCCATATTTTAAAGTCTGTAAATTCATATATCAAGTGACTGAAATTGTTAGCCCATTGTACTGTATTTATATATGGAAATACTGTTAAAGACAGATACGTTACAGACTTGAGCTAACTGAACATAACATTTCAAAATTGGAGCCATTGTGAGTAAAACCAGAGTAAACAAGATTGTTTTGGCTGATTCAATAAGGCTTGAAACAGGAAAACACAGGATAATGAGCAGAATGAAGACAAAACTATCATTATTTGCAGATTAAATGACTGTATACTTTGAAAAGCAAATAAACTTGGTTGCACAGCCTTAGAATTAATAAGAATGTGGTAAATGGTCTGAGAGAAATAAAATAGATAAAAAGCAGTATGGCAAATCTACATTCTTATTCTTATCCTTTGAGTGGTTTTCATTCACAGCTTTGATTATTTACAGTAGGGTTTCATTGCTATCTTCATTTTATACATGAACTAATAATAATAACAACACAAGGGATTTGGGAGATACAGATATTGGTTGGGTGTCAATGTCTAGGTTTTTCTGGAGCTTTATCTCTATTAACAGTAACAAACTGTTACTGTTTGATTAGTTATACAATAATATATTTGATTAGTTATACAATAACTATTGATTAGTTATACAATAATATATTTAACACAAAATAAACTTATTTGAAATAAATTCAAATG